GATAGTTATAATACGCTATCTAAACATTTATAAAACAATCTCATTATAAAATATTCAAAGAATTGATTTACATTTTTAATTGGTATTTTTCTTGGAGCTCTTATTTCTGTAATAATGTTATACATTTTGTACATCTTTTAATTAATAATAATTATCATTATTATGTACGTCTTAGGTTGTAAGTGCCTAAGTGGCTAAGTCTATTATTATATAGGAGTTAAAAAAATTAGTTAAGTCTAAATCAACATACATTTTTTATGAGTGATTGAAATTCTTATTTTTATGACACATTTTACGAATGATTTATCATTAATACATTTTTGTGAATTTTCAAAAATGTATTGCTCGTAGAAACTTGGAGCATTTTATATCACGGTATAAATCGCACAACACGGTTTCGGCGATAACTCCATATTGCAATAACATAAGTTTAAAATATAACACCAATAGTAAAAAGAAAATTGCACAAGGGACCACGCCCCCTATGCTTTCACCCCTAATAATACATATTACCGTGTCCATGGTGTCGATTATTACTTATTGCTGTTCGCAGTAGGTTCAAACAATTAAATATTTTATAAATATGCAATACCTAGTATGGATATTATAAATTCAAATTTAGGGTCTACTTAGAAACGATTTCCGTTCTTTTCATTACATGCATGTCTCAAACATCTGTTCAAGACAAATAACTATAATATTATAAAACATCTGCAGATTCACTCAGTGACACTCCGAGCCCTTTGGTTGTACCCTCTACTAAGAATTATCTTTTTTTCTACAATTCAGCCGTCCTTGGATGCTATTGTACTGTTACGGTGCTCAAGTATAACTCCGTACAATAGCGTATAGGCACAGATTTAGCAGATGTATATTATGTACGTTTCTGACAATGAATGGCCATGCGGACCACCGTGTTTATTACTTAAACAATATGCTCATGTATATTGTGTGTAATTTATTTATTTTTGAAAATTACCAAAATTTCTATTGAAATCCAAAGAAGGCCACACCGTCATAAAAACAAAAAGTAAACGTCACGAAAATAATAAATATTTAAAAAGGCCGTATCTAAGGTTAGGTCGTATTTATATTCCATTAGCGAATTATCTTCAGTGTCGCTGGCAATATAAATATGAATATTATATAGATACATACTGAACTTTTAATTAGACCAATGAAGCTTTTTAATCATCCCAAGGTTGACTCGTTAATATTTCGTGAAAACTGGGGGGTTTTCTTACTCTTTTATTGAAATAAATTTGCGGAATAAACAGAAGAAATACTTACGAGTCGATGGTGTTAATTAAAATAATAACAAAATAGGTAACTTGTAGGATTAGCAGTAGTAAAGTAGCTGCAGTCCTTTCTGAAATTTCAGAATAATTAAAAATACTTTCTCTATTCTCGTTAACGTATCCCGTCACGATGTATAAATGTATTAAGATCGTAATTTGTGTGAGGTTCTTAAATTCTAAAATGGTATATTCCCACGTTGTATCAGCATACCAAACTTATGAGGGATCCTAGTTAAGCCTACCCTATGTTATAGGCCAGATCTAAGTCTCCGGAGGTTAGGCTAGGTTAGATTATACTACCAACGGGAGGACCATAAAATAAAAAATGTATTCGGTGTAATATACTATTAATACTTATCTATTTATTGTATACATGTTTATTGTTGATATTATAAGAAATAACTAAGAAAATCCAAAATTTGAGTAGTTAAGTATTTAAAATATATAGTTCGATAGGTAGGTAAATATTATGAATATAGTATGCACAGAATAAGAAACAAAATATAAGTATAACGATAACATAAATAACATAACCAATGTGTGTAATCAAATATTAATGCTTAGAACCTTATTACTATATTAATTGTTAAAAATATAAGTAAAAATAATACTTTTCTATATAAATATATAATACTGTGCAATTACATAATTTATGTAACACCTGCATATGCACACAAACTATTTAAAAATCTCAGTAGTATAATATAATATTGATAGTATTTCGAATAGGTAGTCATTGACAATATTTATAGTCTCTTTGTCATAATAATTCAGTTTTCATTTTAAAAGAGGAAAGTAATTTAAATAATTATACACTCTTGTGTAGCTCTAAATCTACCTATTCAGAATAACACCTATATTTGTATAAAAAAATACTCAGTAGTCAGTAAATAATATTTGTGAGATGAGCAAGTGTGTCTACGTACGTAGCAACGGTAGAATGGTGCAAGGTGCAAGATACTTAATCGTTGAACTTTGATATATTCTTAAACCGATTCTCATTCAATGTAGTAACTAGTATAAGTATTTTTGTTATTTTGCTAATTTCCTATTTTAATTGTTTTGAAAATATTTGTTTTCAGTCAAATATTTATTTTAAATACACGTTTGACCATTTATTTTTAAATAATAATAATATCAAAACATTGCACAAAAAAAACATTATTTTAAAGATTAAATAAAAATTAAAAATTATAAAATTAAAACGGCCATCTCTATTTGTATGTTGTCTTATATTTTATTTAAAAATATAAAGTTCATTTTTACAATAAAATGTAATAATTTATAAAAATTAATGATTTTTTTTTTTGTGCTGATATATTGGTTTATCTATTCTCAAATATACGTGAAACACTTACACAAAACATGCGATTTGTGTGCATAATAAAAATATAATATTGTTACTGTGTATATTATTGTGGTGAATAGTATCATTTACATTTTTATCGGTTTAATTCGTAGAAAATAACGTGGCCGATGACCAGAAAAAGTCAACTGTTTTGCTATTGGGAAATACAACTTGACCTGCTGGATGGACGAGAACCTCGCAGTATAATAAAATTTAATATATTAAGTATTAAAATTTACCAATTAACCACCTAGACCGGTATTTTTTCACACACACACACACCTAGATATTCTATAGTGGCGTCTTGTAGTACGGGGATGAAAATAAAGGAAATTGTCAGTGTATACTATGTCGTCCTGTACATTATGATGTATATGGTAGGTATATAATAATAATATAATAACATGTATTCGTATACTGTTTATTGTGCGTCGGAGCGAAGTCCAATGCCAGTGACCGATCACTTAAGCCCATCGTCGCGAAATACTTCAAAGTCCACACGGAACGATAATAATATACGACGGAACGTAATATACATTCATAGTATATATTATATTATGTTTTATGGTATCTATACCATCCTGGTCAGAGTGAGCCCTATAATAACATGACCGAATAATAATGTCGAACGAAATAGTAATACAGACGCGCACGTGTCCATTCACTGGACGCCGAACGATGATGTATCATATTATTATTATTATTATCATCATTATTATCATTTTACCGAGGTTCTCGGCCGCTGGACGTGTCTCGCCTCGTACCGCGGCCACACCTAGGGAGGTGCCATCCGTCCTCCAGTGGATTTGGTTGAGACATTGATAGCATATAATATTTGATCTTTTTCCCGTATTAGGACCTGCATGACGTGACATGTGAGTGTTTGCATTGATTCTGGAACTATATTTTATATTATGGCATATTATTACTTGTTTGTAATTTATATTATTATAACATGCACCGCAAAAAAGCATAGTCTCGCTCAGAGGATCGTATAGTTACATTGTATTGCTACATGCCTACAAATTATATTGCGAATAATATTTATACATTTGATTCATCAACTCGCCGAAATAATAATATTGCATCGATCACACATGTTATAACCGCACGTGCTTTGTTATATTCACCAAAATAAAATCGTCAAATATCAAACAAATGATATTATTTGCCGCGAAACTGTATTATATTATCGCATTGACTGAAATTGCGTAATAATAAATAAAAATCATAGATTGGTATTCCGACGTATCAGATAGATTTCATAACCTGGCTTAAACGAAATAATAATATACGAATACTCTCGATAAAAGCGTATATTACCAAAGCTGGAATAAAATTAAACATTAAAATAAAATATATTGTATTGTATATTAATATATTGCCTAATCGTCTTTTCGAAATATTATATTATGCATAGTTTATGATCAATTAAATTGTAGGATCTGAATAACGGGTTTTTGTTCTTCAAAAAACGAGTGTGCCTAAAAGAAAAACCAAAAACTATTCGATCACGAATGGGAATTAAGAATTGGTATATACATTAATAACCTACTTCTTTTGATTTTTAAATATGGTCACTGGTTATTTAAAAACCTAATATTCGTCAGTAAATAAATTGAAAAACTGCCGATTTCGACAAAAACTTCAACTGGATTATTGCATATTAAATATTAAGAAACAACTCTTAAAGTAAAGTATGAAATTAAAGTAAAATTGTAAGCATATAATTGGTAGGAATCAATAGATGAGTTAATAGAGTTGTATGCGTTGCAATAATTGTTTTCTGTATCAAAAAACACATTGCTATTTGTTAAATATTAAACATATAAAGCATGTGTATAGGATCTCGACAGTTGAATAAGTTTTAAATAGAACAAAAAATGGGGCTTCTCCCTTGATACTATAGCACGCTATAGCTTAGTATCTACTGATGATCGATGATTTTATTACACATTATTTTACTTTTTAAGCTCTAGATAATATTCAGAGGGAATTGAATCGAGGGTCCCGTGAGTCCTATATACGCACAGTACGCATAATACACATTTCTCGATCGAATGCATAATACTTTAATGCCTGTAACGTTTTATAATAAAATAATAACTCTATTCGCAGGTGTTCTGCAGATATATGACGTATAGTATGCATATAGTGTATACCCCATCCCTGTTACCATTTGAAACACGTTTATAAGCTTAAAAAAATTTAAAATTTAATTCAATTATCTTTGTATGCATTTATTTTTTACAACTAATTTATTTGATTTTATACTTCAAAATTGTGAAGTACGAGTATAATAAGGCACTATTGACACTTTATATTATTACACGTACGTAAAATGTTTGTTTCAGAACGATCAAGCATTGACGACAATGCCCGGGTACGTGGCACTTAGTTTGGTGTTCATTTTGTTCGGCCTCGCCGTCGTTGCAGCTAGCATCAACTTGTTGGTTCTGCGTTTCATGACTATGTGAGTACTTACTACTTACCAATAGTTTATACATGGATAAATAAAATATAATACAAACAAACATTTACCATTAATAAGATATCATAAGATCGCATTTAAAATGGGAATTATTTTGAAGTTTTTTAATTCTATATTTTTGGTAAATGTTCGTGTTTTTAAAAACAATTTTATATTCGTACATAGATAAATTTAGCATTTAACATAAATACTTATATTTTTCTTAAAACATTTGTGTTTAAAATTATTTATTATAGGTACAATCCTTTTCTAGGTTTTATAACTTTTTTTTTCACAAACTATCCACTGCATCTGTGGCCATTGGATATAATATAACATCTTAGATATATTGGTACATTATATAAATACTTAACCAATGATAATCGAAATTGGATGACCTTGAAGGCGTTTTTGAGTTGAAGGTTTGGTATTTCAGAAATTAGGTTGTATGACTTTATTGGCTCTTTAAATAACAACGCTCGTATTTAAATAAACATCGAGGAACTAAATGCATTTGTGATTATTTTATTTTATAAAATTTAATACTTACCTACTGTACAATATTGGTCTGATGGCTTACAATATATTCCTTAGTACAGAGACATTTTCTCTGCAAAATCATATTTAAATATCAGGGTGAGGAACTAGATCTCTATGATAATATTGGAACCCGAACTTCACGAGAAACTTTATATAGCACATTTAGAAACTAGAATCTATACTTCGATAGAACTAAGGTCATTTTCAATATGAATTGAGGTAATAGAAACTGTTATATTTAAATCATATTAGAGCTAGATAGATTGAAAAACAATTTTATTTTGATGAACTTGAATCGAAATGTTTGTATTTTTTAAGAACCATAATAATATATACCAAAATATTCATTTTTAAAATCCCTAAATGAAATTGAAGCTAATGTATAATAAAGATTTCAGTGACTGATGAATATATTTGCAAAATACAACATTCATTGTTTTTTAAATGTACGTTAAGTCGAAGATTTCTTCACAGAAGTCATAAGTTATTAATATATACACAATTTTTCATTCACAGTTGGACAGTTGAAATCGAGAACAATCAAAAAATGTTATGAAAAACTATGACAGATGTAGGTACACGTAACCGTGGAGTAAATAAAAAAAAAAATGAAAGTATTTTTACTACGGCCCCTGCAGTATGAGGTTATCTCTCTCAAGGTACAAATGCAAAAAAATATGTCTTAACGTCTATAACTTATAAGTATTTTAAATCCGGGGAAAAATGTCGTCGACTCGATGACGTAAAAACAATGAGATCTTTGACACGGGGCGGGGTATGGTGATGTTGACGTCATAAACATGTGAATTATTGTTTAGATTCGGCTAACAAAAAACAATAAAGTACCCATTTATATTTTTAAAACGAAAACGTAATTCAGTATATCAACACATTTTTACATTTCGACACACGGCATGTGTGTATATGCATTATGTATGGTAGTTTATTATATATATATACGTTATATGGCGTACCGGTGTAATAAATCGTAGGTAACGCGATACGATGTACATTTTTAAAAACGTCACTCCTTTGGAATTTCTTTGTGTCGTTTTCGGGTCTCGGCGGTCGCCCAATCGTGTTACCGGCGAGAGGCGCCCGACTGGCGGGACGAAATTTTAAGAACCGGCGGCGACGCCGTCTCCACATAATATAACATACGCGTATTATTATAACACACCCCTGCTCGTCATCCCCTAATCATCGTGCTCATCGGACAACGTGTGCGTGCGTACAGCAAATATATACATGTATAATACGTTTCAATGTGTGTGGTACAAACATGGCCTTTCAGTACCCCCAGCATCCTAACCTTTTTGTTCATCCCCCACATCAACAGGCTGCATGAGCTGCACGGGAAGAAGGTCGTAACTCGGGGGGGTTGGCCTGGTACGTCTGCAGTTTAACTGCTAACCCTCTCACGGGTCTTGTCGTTATATAGTTATGATGGGCTCATCGTGCGTATACGCTGTAGGCATAATGATAATAATAGACTGTGCTTGTCATCTCATAGAGGCGGGGTCTGTCCAAATTGCATTGGCCATAATGTGTACTAGAGCTTTACCTTTTTTTTCAATAGATGTTGATAAAACTGATTTATATTGAAAATTTCATAAGTTTTGGTTAAAGGTATATTACAAAAGTTTAGTATAGAGCCACATTGAATTTGTTCATTTTTGGAAAGTTTGAAAAACAAATTTTGACGTAATTGGATATTTTTGAGAAAAGAACGATTTTTCAGTACACGGCATTAGTTATTTGATTGTAATCCAAAAAAATATTCATTTTTTTAATTATTTATCTTAAGCTATTTTTATCAAAAACCTATTCACACATATCTAGGATTGATGTTCCTACAATCTACATACTAATAACGGATATTCTACTAGCGGATAGTAATACTATATAAGTAATAGTTTTATGTAATATATATGATTTATTTTCTATAAAGATTAGTTCACTCTCTATACTACTGAATTAAAATAAATAAGTATATGATAACACTGCTGATCGACAATTTCTCCTCAGAATCGTTTTTTGAAAACAAAACATATCAATGATTATTAAAACCGTATATTTACATACATAGTATGCACTACAGATTGACCACTCTCAGACGTGTGATTCGTTTTATGCACCGCAATAATAATAGTAAGGCGTGTACGGTGTCATGGGACCAAATGAAACCAGATTCAATAGGTCATAAAAATTTTCAGGACCGATTTATTGTGCGGCCCCGTACACAATACATTTCCAATCAAATCCTCCAGCCATTATTGTAAATGCAGAGAGGAGTTATAATAGTTAGTACATACTTCAATGTTCATATATGGTATACATACAGGTGGACCATAGGCAAATATAGTAATAAATCGTTGACAGCCGTCCCTAATCGAGAGAGGAAAAAAAACCTACAGAGATAAAATCGATTTATTCCAAAAAAATCTTTTCAGGGTAGGTTGCCGGTTTCTATACTTGTCTTTGATATTTCGGTCCCCATAATGGCTGCATACCACTTGTATTAAAAAAAATGTATATTTACAGATACATTGCGTCCTTTTTTATGATAATTTATGTGAACGCACAGCGGGAGTTTTTAGAATGTTGTGTATAGACTACAGAGACCCACCTGCAGATTTGTGCGGGGATCACATCTATAAAAACATAGACCAGTAAAATTACTAAAAAGATTTTCAGAATGACTGTTTTTAAAATGTATACAAACGCACTTTGGGCAATTTTTTGAAATGTGTGCAAGCATGGTATGAACAATGATTTACTTATGTTTCAAAATATATGCGCAAACGGTGAACATATGTAGGTCCAATGGAATATAATATGTGTGCATTATATTATATCTTAAAAAATATGTTATTGATACATCTTCTGTTCTTTTGTTTTTACTTTTTTACGTTATTAGATTTTAATTTTGAGATGTAGTCAAAACATATTTCCTAACGATGTAACGGCGCCAGTCGTCAACAACCGTTTTCTATAACTGTTATTTGTTACATCCCTATCATCTATGTAGTGCGTGGTATTAAATTTATGTTTTAGTAATCTTGGAAACTAAACAGTCTGTGTAACAAATAAGAATAATTAATGTCTCTCCAAAAGACAATAATGTATAAAATGTCAGGTACTAATTAACAAAAATAATGATCACATCAAAGCTGTCTCCTGGAGCGTCTCTGGTTCATAAACTCTATATAAGTACTTGTCTTTACTGTCAATGATGACTTTTCGACATTAATGTTGATTACTTTTACGTTGATGTGATATTCTTTTGTCAATTTACTAATACTTAATACATTTTATCATTTATTGATTTCTACTAATTTTTGACACCTTATTAGTAAACACGTACTATGGCTATACCAGGGCCTCTGATTTTCTACATTGTTCCTAGAATAATATCGGTTCGCCAACGCCGTATAATTGTGGCCATGCGCCATAACACAATCCATCCGAATTGCGCAAGGTGCAGTTCTAGAATTCGGTTGCAATTTTTGGGGCGCGCACCCGAATTGTGGCGAATAATGTATTCGAAGCTAAAATGATTTATTAAAACTGCACTATCAAAATAATTCCTAAATTTAAATTTTGAGTATATAAGATCAAATTCAACAACAGTAAAATATTCAGTAAAGTTATTCATATTCTTAAAATATTGACCTTAACTATATAACAATACTTGAATGTACACACTTAATGCGAATAAGTGTCAATCAACAATCAACATTAAAAAAAATTAACGACATTGGCAGCTACCCACCAGTGTACTTAGTTGCAGAGTGTAGGTTTTCAACTAATAATTAAAGTACTTGAATGGTATTGTATGTATATACTATTTAGGAATGTGTATTTAAAAACTGAAAGAATAATTGTCATAAAAATTAAATAGAGGTAATAAGTCAGTCCTTTTTTAATGTTAAATATCAGCTTTAACCATATTGGCTATAAGTTATAACATATACCTACTAATGATCTGAAACTTTTTATAGTAATATTTTTTAATCTAATTTTTCATTCACATACCTACCATTCGCACAAATTATTTTACATAATCTTTCTTCCATTGATATAAACTATAAAAACGGTGAAAAAAAATCTTATCCCTTTGAAGTGAGAAGATTTTAATATGTAACCCGAAATTTTGTCTCAAATATATTATTATCGATTTCCATCAACTAGTTGCTCTCATATATTTTAGACTAAAATTTGTATGTACATATAATATTAATAATAATTTGAGTCATTTTTTCGGGCCATGCAGTAGATAACTATTTTATACAAATACGCAGGTACCTATATGTGTGTGCACGATCCATCCACCCTCAAGAAAATTCAGAAGTGCTCTTGAGATCCCGCGTCATGTATCTTATAAGCACTGCGTGTGAACGCATTGTATACTATTACCACGTTAATGTGTGTGTTTGAACAACAAGTTGTAGTGTTTGTAG